TGATGTGTTAACAAAATAATGCGAACAAAATTCTTCGAGCAATTTCAATGATAACGTTGAGCCACATATGAGCTCTGATGTGCGAGAGCAGCATACGTGAAGCGCCTAAACGCGTCGAGCGCGAGACAAACACACTCGCGCTTCTCAGCGAACAATGGCAAATAGATCGGCGAGCGATTATCATCGAAACGCCGGCCGGCCGCGTCGTTTCGAAACAAGCGCACGCCCGAGGCGCGCGAAATGATCGCAGCAGGAAGCGCTAAATCCCTTCCGCGTGATATCGGACCGGTCGCAAATGTGGCTCTCTTATCCCTGGGGGTTGTTTCGCGCGATGGCGCGATCGCGCCACCCCCGTTAATATCCTTATAATTGGTTAAAACCCGTGACTGATGAGCGAACTGTAAGTTATTATGCGAGCAGACCCTCGGTGCGCCCGGCGCGATGGGGGTTTACGGGATACGGTTCGACACCTCTTCATTACCCTCTTCATCCCTCCATGGAAACCGCCGCCGTGTCAATGCGGACGCCGGCATTATGGCGGCCTCCGTATTGTCATTGTATCACGGATCGCCGAGGATCGTCCGCTCCGATGCAGAATTCGCGCGCGAATGTACGCTCGAACGGGCGCAATATGCGCAAAAATGTGTTCCCTGCACACTCCGCGCGCGTCCCGCGTAAGATCGGATTTATCGGACAGGGAGTCTACGGTGGATTTGCGGAAATGACTTGACACTCGTCTGAATTCATTCCCGACGCTTTCACGACGATAATTCTCGCTCATTCGTTCCCCCGATGATCTTCTTCATCTTCAATTCGCACAGTTATTTCGTATCGATGCTTTTGTAATTTCAATTGGCGGAGTATAAATACTGCGGATTGCGGATCGCTTACAGATATAGTTGGAATTATTCGAGCGCGTCTAAATGACAAATTGGGCGATAAGCAAGAGAAGACTCCGTTGAGCCTGAATTTCCGATTCTTCTCCGAAATTTTGTGTCTCCCTGAACCGCCAATACGGTGGAGGGGGGGGGGGAGGGCGGGGGGTCTACAAATCGAGGGCTTTCCGGACGTCGCAACGTCGGTTTCGAGCGATTTCACGCTACATCGAATTTGGCAGGGCGGTTCGATTTCTTCCTACGTAAAGCAAAATTCCAAAACCGGAATCGCGGTAGAACGAGCCAGCTTGAAAGGCGGACCGCGACACCGCTTACCTTGCGATCTATCCTTCGATGGGAAAGACGTATTGATACGACTTCGTCGTTCAGAGGGCTGGCAATAGAAGCAAGAAGCCGGCAACTCAAGGAGTAACGCGACATCGGCTCCAGGTGTTAATAATCCGCCTCTAATTGTGCCCCACCGGCGCGGATAATTCCCATTAAACGCCACTAAATACTTGTTTGTATACAGGTCCCCCGCTGCGCGACCGGGGGGGACTCTTTGACACCTCTCCTGAGAAGAGAGCCGAAACTTCCTGCCTCCTCGTTCAGAGAGAAGTTGTATTCGCCGTTCGCCGTGCTCTACACGCGGGCTCTGCAGCGACGAACGGCTGTGAAACGGATTCACTTGGTGGAGCGACGAACGCGAAAACGCCGACGCGGAGAAAAACTCCGTCGTAAAATTAAGATCTCTAATGTGATTCGCGCTTCGGTTTCCTCCCGGATGTAACAGACATTCGCGATAGCATACGCATCAGGCCGATCAGGCGCGTCCAATACCGTATCATCAAATCCAGATGCATTACTGAGATACAGCGTGTCGCGTATCGACCGCGAAAGTATTTCAATGACGGGCCGTGTTACATCGCAAACACCGGGATTCCTCGTTGACACGTAGCTCGAACGACGTTCTATGGAGGATCCGATCCCGTAACGACCGATAGTATTTGATAAGAGACAGGGTGGCCTCGATGGTCGGATGAGCTCGGATTTAATGGATGGAGGACAGATTCTGCAGATACATCAGAGGACCGGCGCGATATCTCGCGCAAACATCAGGACAGAAGCACGTTGCCCCCTTCCCTCCCTCCTCTCCCTCTCTCTCCCCTCTCCCCTCTCTCTCTCTCTCTCTCTCTTCCTCCCTCTCTGACCCTCCTTGACGCACTCCGAGTTCCGCGCCCTTCGACGTCAACCCCCGGCTCGCCACGCTCCCACTCTTTCACGCAGCCTCTATCTTCCTTGGCTGCACTTTCAATCTCTGTTTCGCTCTAAATCACGATATTTCCTTCCCCCTCGCTCCCCACCACTCAACCTTCCTCTCACTCGCTCAGTCTTTGCTTCGTGTGAGAGGATCGCATCATCTCTAATGGTGGATGATGCGCTGCATTTTCTTTGTCTCTCTTATTTTAACATTCTTCGTTGGTCGGCTCTGGCTCGCCCTCGGTAACATCGATTCTTCTCTCCTTCTCCTTCTCCTCTTCTCCGTCTCTCCCTTGTGCTTGTAGAAGATGGGATATCGGGGTAGACGGTGTGCTTAAGGGTCGGTTCTCGCTCGGTTGCAGTTAGATTAGGGATCGCTCGGATGATGTGCCCCAGAGATTAGCGCGTGTACACCCTCGTTACGTACATTACGTCGGGGTGGGGGGGGTTAAGCCTTTTTCCCGCGTAATCGATACGCAATTTTATGAGGCTCTCGCGTTCCACCTCTTATATACGTACCGGATACACTCCGGAATCATTCTGGACGGTGAGTTAAGTCGGCGGAATTTCATTAAGTCCCCTCTCGGTCGGATTTGCTAGATGAAAATGCGATAATTTTCCAATAATTTTACATTATTGTGAGGCTGGAGGATTTTAGGAATTTTGCAAACTTTCCAACGGAATTGATATATATGTATATATATATGTATATGTATATATATATATATATATGCGCTTTAGGGTATTTTTAATAGTAAATTATTTCTACAAATTATCTCTGCTTTTCTCTACTTCCAAAAATTACAAATTTTGTCCGAAAGTACTCTTTAGCGATACAGCCGATGAACGAGGCTATCGGACTCTGAGGTCGATTTTGGGAAGACTGAGAAAAACGAAATGACAATTCGTTGGTATCGATAAATTTATTGCATCGGATTGACTCATATTTACAACAGGGACACATACATATGCATTTTCATCTACTCTACCGATTATCTACATATATAATCTTTTGTCTTTAGTTATGCTTGATTATTTCCACCGCGATTAATTGCCACTTATCTAGCTCGCACAATACACATACGCAGACAAGAGTCCGTTACGTCTTTCTTCGTGAAAATCAATGTTCGGCATACGGCGAAACAAACTATCCTTTCGTTGTATCGATGCAATCAATTTTGCCTCGTAACGCGTAACGCGGTCTCGAAATTTATTTTAGAACACGACGAAAGGTAATGTTTGGGCTGCTCTTTCAGTCATGAGACGTAAATAAAAATGCATAAATAGATATACGTGTTTCAATAATAATAATAATAATAATAATAATAATAATAATAATAATAATAATAATTCTTATAAACTTTCTTGAGTCTATTGCAAAGCTCTTAATGATCGTAGTCGCATTAGTCACGATGATCATGATTTAGCTATAATAATTACAATAATAATAATAATAGTGACCAACATTTCATTTGCTATCTATGATTCACTTAAAGCTACTATCACACCGATTTATACATTTGCCTAAATGTAAATAGATATGCGGTCAACATGTAAGATCGCTCGGTACATCCACGTACTCCTTATTTGTAATTTTTTGCGATACAAAATCTCTCCTTTAATCTCCGTGTTCGATTATGTGTACCTATCTTGTTCCAATGAAATAGAAATCCTTATAATGCAGTCTTGTTCAACCACGAGGATACGCAACTTCTCCTTTGTATGCCGAGTAGATTCGAGAATTTCGAATTTGTCAATGTACTTCGTCAGTGTATTTCCGAGGGAAGCGGAACGTTAACTTTTCGTTAACGTCCGTTAACAAACGAAAATTGTGAAACTCTTGCAAATCTTTCCGCGCGCACGCATCTGTTCGCGCTAAACCTTTATACTTCCGCCACACGACGAAACTATTAACACATAATAGAACTCGACGGCGAATACTCTGTGAGATCTGGACGAATTTTTGATAAGTCTTTCGGACGATTTCATCGTACTCTCATGGCCCTCCATCAGTCTCTCTGCGTCGAGACGATCCTAATTACACATCACTTTGCTAATAACTCCCTCGTTCATGTCCACCGTTACGCGCCGTAACGTATTTGCCTTTGCACATACAAATATTTACAAATATTTACATATATGATTAATCAGCCCGCAGGAGTCCATTGATGCGGCCGTCAACGCCCGAAAATCAATCATTGAAACCCTTCGCGATTGGCCAAGGGACTAATAGGGCATCTGTGTCTTGTTGGTTTACCTTTCGTACCAACGTATCCAATTCTGTTCGTGAATGCCAATGCGAATTATTTGCATTATCAGATATGTCTGGTACATATTTCCGCGGTTTGACATTCATATATTGATCGAAAGTATCAATCGTTCAAATGGTTGTAACGCCTGCCACTGTCAAGCGTTTGCCTGCGGCAAGTGTAACTCGCTGATAAAAATGTAACGTGAATTTAGTCGAGAATTTCTCTTTCTCTTACTGCGAAATAGGGAATACGACTATGGAAATGATTTGAAAAAATAAATTCCCTAAAGCTCCCGGAAGCCTCGGTCTTGCGCGTTACAAAAATAGAGGACCGCGGAAACGCTGTCTTGCCGACATATGAAAGTAAGAAAAACGAGCGGCAATTTCATTCGCGTCATTCGTTTCGCTTGTGATTCACCGTGGTGGACTCTTCGCAACGACGTCGGCGAACGACCGTCGAACAATCGCCGGTTCCATCTTCCGGTTTTCGTTTGCGTCCTTACGTTCTTACCCGCGTCGATCATTACACGTGTCGACGTCGTTCACCGTTGCCATTTCATGGCAAAACGTGTCGCAAATGTACCCCCCCTCCCCCCACCCCCGCCCGCCCCGCCTCCTCGTCGCTTACAAAGTTCTCCCCGAGAATAACCGCTCGAAAGTCAACACGCTCACGCGTCCACCTAGTCATTCACTTTGAAGTTTGCGCCAGCTGGCCCATGTCAGCCGAATAGCAAGGTGAACCGAGAATAAGCGGGTACTGAGTCTTCCTGGGGTAGTGTATGTTCTCGCTCTGTCACAACATCTTGCTAAGGGAGTGGTAACTGGTGGACCCGGGCGGGGGGAGTATGAACGGACTGACGATGGAGTGTTCGGGGCCATGATACACCGACGAGTAGCCAGACTGCTGGTTGTGGTTCTGGCCCGAAGCGTCCAGCCCGTTGAGCACCGGCGAGCCCGCGTCGTGCAGCTTCCTCATGTGCTTCTTGAGGTCGAAGTTCCTGCAGAAACCCTTGCCGCAGATCTTGCAGGAGAACGGCTTCTTGTCGTTGTGCGTGTGCATGTGGAAGGTCAGATTGTAGATCTGGTGGAAGGCCTTGTTGCAGATGTTGCACTTGTACGCCTTCTCGCCGCTGTGCGTCAGCTTGTGATTCTTGTAGTTGCCCTTCTGGTGAAAGCCCTTGCCGCAGAACTCGCATACGAACGGCTTGAAGTTGGCGTGGATGCGCGTATGGGTGTTCAAGGTGGAGCTACGGTTGAAGGCCTTGCCGCAGGTCACGCATTTGTGCGGCTTCTCGGCGGTGTGGATGATCTTATGTCTACAGAGGGTGCTCGCCTGCCGGAAGCCCTTGCCGCAGATCTTGCAGACGAACGGCCGGGCGCCCGTGTGCACCGGCATGTGTCTCGTCAGGTTGTAGTGCGCGTTGAACACCTTCCCGCATTCCGGGCAGGTGAAGGTCTTCTGCTTGTTCGCGGCGGCCAGGTCGTTGCGCGGCGCTGGGCTCTTCTTGCCGCGCGGGTTCTCCGGCGACATGCTCGTCAGGCTCAGCCGCGAGGAGGCCTCCTGGATCGTCGTCGGGGGTGGTGAGCTCTGCGTGACCGACGGTGTCGAGGCCGGAGGGCCCGGGAAGGCCCTCAGTAACGGGCTCGGATAATACAACGGGTAATACTTGGACAGTACAGGATAGTGCTGGAGCAGATCCTGATGCCTCAGCGTCGGCACGTACTTCTCGAACGCCGACTTGAGGTGCGCCGAGTACGATGGCGAGGAGATGTTCGGTGGTTGCTGCAGGATCGTCGTCGTCGTCGTCGGCGGTGGAGGCGGCGGTGGCGGCGGCGGCGGCGGCGGCGGCGGCGGCGCCGGCGGCGGCGGCACCGGATTACTCTGCTCGGTCAGTCGTTTGTCCGGCTCCATGATCTTCGCGATGGAGAAGGTCAGATTTCGGCAGGGTGTCGGGGGGGTGGTCACCCTCTCGGGCGGCAGGCTGGTCGGTGTCTCGGTCGCCATTGTGCTGCCCGTCGCGAATGGTTGCATGGTAGGCCTGCAACGAAAATACTGACCGTCAGATAGTGTTTCCCGGCGTGTCCGGATTTTCATGGTCGAGGGTGAGCAGTAGAAAGGGAGAACACTCCCCGCACTTAACACCGCCCACCGGCTGATTTCTGGCGCGATTTCAACGCCCCGTCTCACGTGCGAGGGAAGCGTTCTTTGTTTGGAATTCCGACGGCGATCCTTGCGTCGGGATAATGAAAAACGTCAACTTTATTTCACTTCGCTTCATTTTCATCCCCATTAACAAATTAAAATTTCTGAGAGATCTATCGTGAAAAGATAGGCTACAATGCGAAGGAGAACATAATTCCTTTTCTAACGATTAGAGCGATTACGCTGATGACGATAACGTACACGTGCGCGTACACGTGTGAACTTAATTTGTCCGTAGATTCCGCTTTTCAGCTTTAAACTTGCAAATTTAGAATAATCCCGAAAAACAACACCCACAAATAGGATTTCCCTCGCAGCATTGAAAGATTATTCTCAAGATGCTGATTGTTCGAATCACGCACGTTCGAATCGCTCATCGCGACAATATATTCAGTGTGCACGAGGCTTTAGCAGCGGTTCGGAGGGGGGTATCCAAATCATGGCGATCAATTTGATGACTTCGAGGGCCGCCGTTACCGACAATTTTCCCTTCGCAGCCCCTACGTTAGTGTTTTAGCACACATCGACGGAACCCACATGCCGGCAAATCCGAGCGAAACATGTGGTACCGCTATTACATCCACTCAATTGGACCTCGCGTTCATACAGAAAGAAGAACACTACGCAGCGAGGGTTGTGGTAAACGTTTGAACAAGGAAACACAGCGTTCTGTTTCTTCCGAAGCAGCCAATGTGTGTCTCGCCAGCCGCACATTATTCCCCGTGTGCGAGAACGATATCTCTGCGACGAATTCGGTCGAGAGTAATCAATTGTCTACTTTGATATATTTCGAAGATCGGAGCGATTTCTCGCATTGCTTTCAACTTCTTCGAATCTTTCTACTGGCCGAGAGATTACAACGTAACATAAGAACAATGAACGGAAGTTGAACCTATATATCGGAAATCTGTGACTCACTTTGTCTCATTAATACATACCTCATGAATTTAAAAGCAAAAATCAATCTTTTCAACAGTGCGCTCTATTGATATGTTTGCATCGATAACGATTCATCCGAACAAGTTGATAGCACAAGCTGATAGATTGTCATTATTCGCGTTATTCGCGGATATTTGCCAGCAAGATGAATTACACCGAGTGGGAGATATATACGTACGCAATTCGAATGTGGATTTATGTGCGACAGATGTACATGTGAGCCAACCATTAAGCATATGCAGCGCGGGAGCGGCGAGTGAATGGCAGAACTGAATGAGACGCGAAATGGTCAGCACAGTTGAAGAGCAAGCTTCCCCGAGGTATCACGGAAGGTTTGCACGTCGAAAAGTAGAAATGTTTGCTCCGCGGAATGGCGTTATGTTTGGACTTGGAATGACGGCTGGAATTGGATGGGACCTCGTTGACGATCTCACGAAATAGCGGCTGCTGGATCCGCGACGGCCGCTGAAATCTTGATTCAAGATTCATGATAGAGCGAGTCTGGCTGGGATAAGCTCGCGCTTAGTCAGAAACGCATCCGCCATTGAATGTTGAGCGTGAGGGAAAGAGACCACGTCGCACTTTGTCTCCGTTAACAGGATGAAACTAACATCGACCCTCGATTTTTTGTCTCTCTGAACGAGATTTTTCGCGAAATCAACAACTTAATGCGCCTTAATTGTCCGGGGTAACTTCTCTCTTCTTTCCCTCCTCTCTCTCTCTCTCTCTCTCTCTCTCTCTCTCTCTCTCTCTCTCTCTCTTTCGTCGCGACGCGCCATAATACGACACCCGTCTCGGGTACAGACTCTCCCCCGTCGGCAAGTTTTCCGAAAAGCTCAAAGGACCGAGCTTTACCGAACAGAAGATGACGCGGTGGCCCTTCGCAAGCCCCGCCCAACGTCGGCTACCTCTCGATTGTCCCTCGGCCAAAGGCAGCCCTAATAACTGGGAGAGCTCGGTAGGAAAAGCCAGCCCTGGTGTGAGAAGCGAGACTCGAGAAGGGAAAACGACCTTCCTCGCACACCCCGAAACGCCCCTGCGGCCTATAGAAAAGCGCCGACGTCGACGACGTAGACGACGTGACGCAGAGCGACACGGCGACGCCAGCTTCAGCGCCATGGAAGGGCGCAACTGTCGGTCGAAGTGTACCACCGACAAAGGATCGCGATTATGTACCGCGAAGACACTCGGCGCTCTTCGAGGTGAGCTCGAAGCAGCCGGCGTCTCCCGCGTCACTTTGCGTCCCCGTTGTCTTGCCGCGCTTTTCTCCGTTCCTCTTCCGCCGTCGGGTACCTACCTACGTCGCTGTATCGGCTTCTCCCTCCCTCCCTCCCTCTCTCTCTCTCTCTCTCTCGCTCTCTCTCTCTCTCTCCCCATCTTTCTCCTAAACTCTAGTCGAACTATGAACGTATTCTCTTCGAGCTTGCAACTTGCGCCCTGTTCATACGCGTCCCTGCAGGCGGCTCCTCCCTCTGCCGTTCTTTCCTGTCTTTTTGTTAATCTTCCTCTTCAATTCCGCGTGTCTTTGTTTTCACCTGCGCCTCTCGCACGCGCTCTAACTCTTATTCCTCCTGTTTATTCCTCCGCTTCTCCGCCGGTCAATGCCTCTCGGCTGTATTTTTCACCCTGGCATTTTCTCTTTTTTTCTCACGCACCCTGTCGTCGCTTCTCTTCTCCTTCGTCGCTTCACGCGCATCGCCTTCTCCGTTACTCGTCTCCGACATTATCCTTGGCTCTCTTCTCACACTCTCCTCATTCACACGCTTCCCCCTCCACGGCTCTCACCCTCCCTCACGCGTCCTCCTTCCCATTCTCACGCTTCTCCCTCCATCTTTTTCGCCCTGTCTCCTGCCCCTCTTTTGCATTTGCTCTCTCCCCCCTCTCTGTCTTTCTCTCTTTGTCGCGTCGCTCTCTTCGATCCCTTCTCGCACACTACCTGAAGCTATACTTCATCCTTCTCGTCGGTATCGCGTCGATCCATCTCTTCTTCCAGCTCCCCACTTCTCGTTTTACTTCACCGTCGACAGAGACAGACCGAGCCACCGCCGACGGAGGGGATGAACGAGAACAGATTGGTGGAGGCTACGATCGGTCGCACGAGGGTGCAAGAAGCGAGGGGTGGCGAACTGCACATGGTGGGGGCCAGCATTGTTACAGTACTTAACGAGCGGCCGTGGCAATCAGTATCGTTCCCCGCTGCCGAGACCCGCGGCACCCGGGGCAATTCTACCAATTTATATCAATCCCGGTCGAAGCATGGCCGACACGCACCCAGGGACCATTTTGTTTCCTTAATGCCACTCGATCTCATCGACGACGCGTCCCACGCGATCGCGAGCGCGGCCATTTGCTCCTTTCGGAGCCTGATGTACTTTTGCGAACTACCCTCTTCGCAGAGGGTTCATCCTTGGAATTTACAAAGATTTATGTTACGCCCATCTGATTTCTCGTAGAACGTTAAAATGCAAAGCGGACCACCAACCAAGATTCATGCCGTCTAAATAATTTTGCTGATTCATTTGCAATGAGAGACAGAGATTGTCGAAATTAATAATGTCAAGTCCGGCTGGAGTCCTGGTCAAGTTCAATGGTTTCCTTGGTGTCACCTCTCGATATCCTCTCAGGTATTATCTGAGAGTCCAGGTGTTGCGATTTAATGTGCGTAGTACTAGTAGAGAGGATCAACAGCTAAAATCAGCTGATGCGAAAATAATTAGTAATAAAAATCAATAACAGAGGTGGCAATTAGTGATGTCCATGCAATACCCGGATCATATTGATAACACACCAGTCGAGAACCAGAAGCAAAATTTTTAAGTGTTCAAATACCATGGCAGCTAAAAATCATGTATTGTGTGTGATAGCGGAACAGGGGCGTAACAATATTCCATTGTCGGCGGCGATGCTAGCGAACACAGATGTGCGCAATCGAGATAGAAAGGTTCCGGTGCTTGAAATATGGTGCGCGCAATGGTGGGCATTCACATTTTGTGCGTGCATTTTCAGAATTCACTTCTCTAAAACTGCAATTCTTCTTTGCAGCCGCCTCCTTTGCTCATGCGGCACATTTTTCGCGCGTGTTTTGCGCTCGAGGTCCATTATTTACTACTGAATTTCTAAAAGAAACACGGATTTTGGGGCGACGTCGTCTTAAATCGCGATGCGAAGAAACTGTAGCTCGAAACAATTCGCCAGGGGCGGATAGCAAGGCAGGTCTGACACGTTGAGAAATACACAAAGCGGGGAATATTCCTCGCGGGCGCTGCAAATAATAAATCTTGCACAAAAGACGCGCGTTCTACGCGCGATGGGTAAAGGTCGCTTTCGTGACCAGCTTGATAATGCGGCAACCCCTTCGCGAGCGAGCGATCTATCGCGGTAGGGATTAAATCGCAGGCGCTAAATGTACAAAGTTTACCGATGTGGTTACAAACGATCCGAAGAATCCAATCACCTCCAGTAAACTATTAGCGACGATGAGCGGATAGCTTCGTACTTAAAGAAAGTTGAAGGGGTTCGAAGGAACTTGAAATGGCTTTGCAAATTTGCCCGTCTCGTTGTCAGTCTGCTAATTACCTTTCTCCACCCTCCAGTTCTTCCAGCGGGCAACCGAGATTTCGTCCTCTCTCGTGAGGTTGTCTACTCTCTATCATAATCATAAGAAACAATTAAGTGATTACACTCGACTGGACGTCGCTTCACCGTCGCTTTATCGTAAGATACTTTTTATAAGCCCGTCCCTCGACTTGCAAATGCGACCGTCTGAGGATCGGCTGTATAGTCTTCCTTCGGCTTTCTTTACGTCTTTGCGTCTTCCGCGACTGCGAGTGCAGTAAGAATAAACGAGAGCGACGCTGGCCTCACTGCTACACTGCTCTTTCCATTTGCATGTTACCC